AAAGAGATCATTGGTCAAAACCGGCCTTGCAGACTCAGCTTGGCCTTTTTCCAGAGGACTACATGTTTAGCAGTTGGACTGCTTTCAAGAATTACAGTGTGTGTTCATGAGACTCCCTCTCCTTTTAAGTCAGAGACTACATAACTTTTTCAATTACCTTCCAACCACATATTGAACAGTATTGACATATGTTTTTTGTAACATCCTCCTTAATAATTAATTTTCTAGTCTCCACATTTGAGGGGATCTTCTCAGCCATGGAGCCAAACTGTTTCTGCAGAAAGCAATAACATTAATAAATGCTCTAACCTGCCAACTATCCAGAACTCATCAGGCTGCCAGCAATGAATCTTCCCACCAAGTCAAAATACGTAAATCTAAGCAATACAATTACAGACATAAAGAGCAAAGATCTCTTTATGTCATATGTACAAAATACTTTTCATTCTTATTGCAGAAAAAAATCAAGAACACCTACAGAAAATACCAGGAGCTAAATCAAAAGTTGCCAAAAATATATGGTTACACCGAAGAGGCCTTGGGTCTCTGTTCCATTCATAAGAGAGATGCTAAAGGAGAAAAGCTTGCAGTAGTTGACATTTTCATCTGTTTTAACAAAGTGATGTTTCATTCTTGGGCCACCCACATGTAATAAGGAGCGTCTTCATCTTCTTCACAACAGAAAAGAGGAGAGTGTTTTAAGCTGATTTCCTAGAAACACAACTTATGTCAAAATCACTATCCACTGATGATTCCTGTTTATGTTTTTTGTACTGCCTATCCCATTCTTTCTCTTTCAACATCTCGTTTTAACAGCAAAATGAAAGCACTCCAGAGCAATATTTCAGGCTTCTTGGAAATCCTGTGAACCAGCTGTCAAGCTGGGCTTGCCAACTCAGTGCCCAGGAGGGTTTCTCTGTAGCACTTTTTTGTGGCCGTGTCCATTTTCTGGATCTAGGCCTATTTGAATGAATACACGATGAATGAAGGGGGATTCCTCCCACTTGGGCTCCTAGGAACCACCAGTGACGCAACAGTAGAGAAGCAATTACACTCGTGTCATCATGGCAGTGTAGTGGAAGAGAGAACACCATCAGTAAGTATATCACTGGAGTACTGAGACTGACCCATAATTGTTACAAAGTTTGGAATCATAACATCGTTTTCCCATATCATTCTGATGTATGAATAGTTCTTAAAGGTAGAAAAGTATAGTCATATCCCCAAAGAAGTAAATAAATAAAATTATAAATATAGAATTATCTGAATATTTAAATTTTTGACAGGTGTTTGTTGTACATAATTCAGTTTGTTTCCATAATTCAGTCTTTCAGAACTGAATTATGGAAAGAGGTGTAACTTTAAAAAAATATTTTAGAAATTTACATATATGTCTTTGAAACAGATCCATTGTGTCGATGTATAGGTCTTGACTTCGAAAGGAAGCAAAAGGGGGGAAAAAAGTCACTAACAAGCATTGGTAGCTAAACTTTGTTAGGATTATTTGAAATGATGGGAGAAGAGTCTTTTTTAGTTAAATACTCCTTTAAGGAGTTGTATCGCTTTCTAACAACAGGGAAAACTTCACTAATCTAAAAGAATATTGATATTATTGCTGGCTTCCTTAGTTTCCTTCTTTCAAAACAGAATTTAAGTACTGTTGGTACACTCAGTAACGTAATGCATACTCATTTCTTTCAGTTTTCTTTCTCACAAGATACATACTGTTTATTTTCATGCAATTAGTACTGATGCTTATGTTTACTGAATCTAATGAAACATTTTAAGACATTTTCTGCTTGAAAATACCACTACTTCAATGATAGTGGAAGTTCTGTTTCAATGAAGTCAGGATATTCCATTTTTCGCAATTAACACAGAAACACAATTCTGAAGTGTCAATTAAGAATTCAAATATAATTTTGCATCTTGCAGCCACTTACATTCTGAAGAATATCTTTTTAATTACTCTCCTTCCCTCTGGGGAACTTCATAAAAAACAAGTTTGTTTTTCCTTCCCAACTCATTAATAATTGTTATTATGTATAATCTGCTAAAACTATCAATATACAGTATTTGCTTTATTATTATTATTGTTTTGTCAGGGAAAGGGTTTTCCTGACACAATGCAAAATCTGTTAATTTCTCATTAAAAAAACACCGAGGAGCTTCAGTCATGTTGGTGTAATACATGCTCTGCAATATATGCCTGGGTACTAACATCTGTGCTGCAGTTACATGTGTAAAATGCCAGCAGTGTTACAATAATTGGAAATTAAACCTTAAACAAGAGAAGGGGTAAATTTACAAGAAACATAGGAACATAATGGGAGCGCCTGCCCAGGGAGGTGATGGAGTCACAGTTCCTGGATTTGTTCAAGACACATAAAGACGTGATGCTGAGTGATGTGTTTAGCACACATGGTGGGAATGTGTTGGGATTGGGATAGATTATTTTAATGTTCTTTAAAAAAAAAAAAAAAAAGGATTTTATAATTCTATAATTCTAATTTTTGGCACAGATGTTCAGTAAGTGAAAGCTAAATCTCTACTTAACTTTAAAGGCTCTGTCATAGCTGTTGATACGCATAGCTATTTTAATTTTGCTGCTCCATTTCTCCAGCACTGCAGTAAGACAAATGCTGTGATTGTTTCACACTATACCATGTCAATTTCCCAAATTACTTTTGCTTGTTGCTGAGCACAAGCAGCAGCTGCACGGTGCAGAGGTTCCATGCTGCATTGCCTGTTCAGGGCAGTGGCTGTGCCACACTCACAGCTCTCCTTTCCACTGTTCACTTTGGATCAGGGTAGTTCAGACAGAATTCCTATTTCTGCTTCTCTTCAGTGATTCTGTTTTTGCCTAATAATAATACTAATTAATTTCAGTTTTAATGATTACTTGCAACCAAATACTTCCAAATGCACTGAAGCAGTGCCTGTAACTCCATTCCCAAGAACGTTCATCATAGACTTTAAACACTTCATTAGAAATTCTGTCTCTTGCTTTTCCTTCATTTTAGTGTCCAAATGACATTACGGCCCAATGAATTTTTCAGGAATAATGTGCCTTATATAGTACAAGCAGATATTTAACATGGAGTTTGAATTTTCCTATACAGAAGGGCCTTAGAAAATAAGATGTTACAGTGATGAGGATGAAATTTGGTAGTGAATCTGCTTCAGCAAGTCTGAGATGACTTTTGCTGGGCTGCTGGCAATCCTTTTGGAAAACTGGTTAGTGACAAATCTAAGAGAGTGTTTAAGAGTATTCATGAAGTGACAGAGTGAAGATTTAATCTTAGGACTTCTTGGCTTTCTCTGTGCTGGGCCTGCTGTAAAAGGCTCTAACTTTCCAGTCTATTTCTCTGTATAAAGGGTTGACCACATGGAAACAAGCAGTGATTCTTTAGTATGTTTTCCGTTCAATTTTGCTTCAGCTGGTAATCAGTAGGCTAACTACAAGAGGCCTACCCATCTTTTTCACTCAGGTACATACAGTGCTTACCATAGCCTGCTCTCCTCAAGCACGAAACAGAATTAGTTTAGATCCAATAGCAGCCAGCAATTTTAAAATGGGAATTTCTATTAGAGCTACATATGTAACAGCCAATATAGATGATACCAATAATGTATGATTAATGACAAGCAGGCTGGTGAAGTCCATGCAAGTTAGATTAATAAAAAATGACTTCAGAATTCAGTGCCTTATTCCTTTTATTCCTCTTTAACAAGAATAAAGATAACATTTGTCATCAGAAAATAAAATTTCATAGATACAAATCACAAACAAGTATGCAGCAGTATATTCCAGAAAGCAATGCACTGCTAACTGAAGGAAAAATAAGACTGCGTAGCTCGTACACTGACATTAACTAGAATTTTATGTCTGTAATAATATTTCAGCCAAATATATGCTTGAACTACATAACCCAGTATTCAAATGAATATCATTAAGTCATACCCTGGATGCCTCAGTTAGTTGTAATGCTGGTCACAAACATAATTTTAAAATCATCCATAAATCTACTAAAAAAACAAACCACCAAGTATAAACTAATACTCTACAAAAGGAATAAACCTCTGAGAAACAAATATGTACATATGCAAAGAAAGAAATATAGGCAACTTGCTATTTTATACTAGAATATTATTCAGGGAGAAGGTGATTTCGGAAAACAGTAGTAAATAATATAAATAACGTATAACATAATATAAATAGTAAATAATATTGCTTTCATTTAAATTGGCTGTGATTTTTGAAGACATGATTAATATACCTTGTTTCAAGCCAAATAACAAAGGCTACAAAAGCAGGTGGATCATGAAACATAAGGTGTTTTTCCTTGTTGCTATATTGATTCTAAACGGAATGGAGCACAGCTATGACCAGAATATGAATATGCGCATTTCTAGCCAAAAAAAACTACTGCAAAGAAGTTTAGTTAGCTATGTTGCTTTTATCCATATAAAACTTCAGCAGTTTACAAGGTGCAGTTCTTCAGTAACAAAACTGGCTATGAAATCAAAGGTGAAACATGAGTAGTTTAAGACAGCAGAAAGGCTTAGAGGTTAGGGCTTCTAGAAAGCTAACCATGCAGAGATATAACAATATAAAATGACACTATCACGTGGCTAAATGAATGCTCTAGGCAATACTGCTGTCTTCCAGTAGGAAGTTAGGAAATTGGAAGATTCCTTTGACAAAAATATCTATTCATCACTAATGTAAAAAAGGGAAGGAAGAAAGGAGAAACATTCAAAAAATAGAACACAGACTAGTAGTCCTGTAGTAAATCAGTCACTGTTGTTAAAATTGCTAAGAATACATTTGTTGTATTTGCACAGAGGATATGTGAAAATGTATTTCTGACCATCAGGCCATTTCATTCCATGTGTAGGAATTAGACAAGTTCTGATTTTAAAATCTCAGAACCTTTGCTCAGCTACTCCGATCTTTGTACCAAAAGTCCATGTTTACTTTGCTTCTGATGTTAATGCTCACTTAAATGTCTGCTTGTTGGATTGCTCAAAAGCGTCAGTCTTTGCATGCTCAGAGGTAAGGCTCCTATTTCTGTCTCTGCTGGGATTCACAAATTCAATTTTCCTCTGACTACCTCCCTTGAAAGGCTTGGTCCATTCAGCGCTCAGGTTGCTCATCTATGTCAGTTTTCATTTAAATCTCAGCTAGAGAAGGCAGAGCTCTGTCTTCAATAGCCCTGTGTTTATAATATAGCTGCTATATGTTCGGCTCATCCCTCCATAAAAAGTATTTCATTCCCTTATTTTCCTGCTAACTTGACTATTTTCTGATCACTAAGCCATTCTAGGTTTCTAGCATATTTCTTATGCTTTCTCTATGTTTTCAGAAAAATAAGACAAAAAGACAGAATAATCCTGTCTTGTGGCTCCCTGTTTTCAAGAGATTGTTCACTCTTCATGAAGTGCACTGAATACACTTATCAGACTGGACATGTGAGGAGCTGGAGTACCTTTAGAGGAATTAATTTCACCAGACTTTGATGTAAATGCGGACAACCAAAATAATAGCTGCAAGTTCTTCATATAGTTAATGCATGGAATTAGGCATTTTTAAGATGTTGTCTGTCTAATCTAGAGATCAACTTCATGTCTCAGAAACAGCATGATTGGCCTAAAACTGCACACATTTCTCAACATACGTTATGAAGTGATTAACTTAGATGTAAACATCTTTATAACAGTCCTACTAGCTGAGTTCCAGGCATGAGCAGAAGCAGATGTATAGATTATTGGAGAATGTTACTGACAAAAATAAGAAATCTGTAGTCTTCAGACTCTTAGGAGTCAAGTGACATTTGAAGATATCGTACTTTAATGGATATTGTCAAACTCATTGAGGAATATTTTAAGTCGTTTTCATAACACTTTATCATGTAGAAATATACTTTTATATATAGAACTACCAAAACAATCAAAAGTACAAAGTATATGTGCACTAGTAAGAGAGCAAAATTCAACCTAGTTTATGTTAAGTTAGGAGGAGGTTTTGCACACAGAGGGTGGTGACACACTGGAACAGGTTGCCCAAGGAGGCTGTGGATGCCCCATCCCTGGAGGCATTCAAGGCCAGGCTGGATGTGGCTCTTGGCAGCCTGGTCTGGTGGTTGGCGACCCTGCACATAGCAGGGAGGTTGAAACTAGATGATCATAGTGATCCTTTTCAACTCAGGCCATTCTATGATTCTATGATTCTATGACTCTATGATTCTATGAAGTGCAGTATTACTTGTTTTTAATTGTAAAGTGCACTATTACTTGTATTTAATGAACATGCAAACTTGTACTCAGTCTGAGTCTAGAACATTTCACAAGTCAAGAAGCATTTTCCCAGATTTCCAATGAAACCCCTAAATGATTTATTGGAAAAGCATTTTGGGTAGAACTTGACTGGTGGAAATATTCAGAAGCTGGGAAGGAGCTGTAAACCCAATCTTTTCATTGCGTGGCTGGTTGTCTGTACAACCAAGTTTTCATTTAGCAGGGGTAGGCTTCGTTGCGCTTCTTTTTTCTTTTTTTTCAGACAGAATACTGAAAGTTTGTAAGATATTGTGATTAGCATTTCCTTACATAAAAATGACCATTAGGTAGGTAAAGGCCATCTGGCCTAAAATTGCCTGCTTTTTAGAGAATCTTAGGGCTTAAAGTTGTTGGTATCTTCATGAGCACCTATGTAACTTTCTATATAATCCAGAAGATAAAGATGAGATAAAGATAAGATTCATGCTCAAACATATAACGCTACTGCCTAAATTTCTCTAAGAAGGAGAGGTGACTTAAGGAATACATCTTTGCATGGGGTACTGGTCAAGGACTACTTTCCTCTGACTTCTGCTAATATCCATCCTCCACCCATTCTGGTGCCAAAGGGGAAAATGAAAAAATGAGCAAAACGAGGGGAAAAAACAGCTTTGGAGGGCTCAGTCCAGCTATTGTTAAAGAACTTCAGTGCCCACATACACTTGGCTTAAAGTGGGTAAATCACAACTGCTTGCAACACATAGTAATGTGCACTAGAGTCACACCATTAAATACATCCAGTTTCCTTCTATTTTATCCATGTTAAAAACACAAAAGGGTGTTGCAAGCATGCCCCTGGCACTTCAGTTTATAAAAATAAATGTTATGGTTAAGTGGATGGGAAATACAATAAGCAGTTAAGAACCAAATGAGAAATATCTGCTTGTTGAGAAATTTTTTTTTTGCAGTCTTTATTTTCTTTTTGGAAGGAACGGCAGTCAACCTTTGTGCATGAACTAAGACAAGAGACCACACAACCCTTTGGGCACATGTTAGTAATCATACAACCCTTTGGGCACATATTGGTAATCATTATGAGGACTCAGGAGTATTTGTTAAGATGCCTTAACAATTGACTAAAGTAGCTAGGCTGTGTCATTGTGCTCAAAAGAGAATTGATTTCCCGTTCTAATTACAAAAACAATGCTGAACATTTATTTTTTTCCTTTTATCATTTGGATTTGAATTCTTCTATCCATAATGACTTCATGTAATTCATTACACTGTGGAAAAATTACTATCTTCTTTTGAGACTGCAGATTGACTCCCAGAGACAAATGAGCAAAGCAATTATTCTGGTATCATCACAAAGTTATAACAGCAGAGAGTACTGATAACTCCATCATCTCAGGAACCCAGGGTTCCTGATGTCCTCTTGGTTTGTGTCTTGATATTCCCATAAACATCCTCCAGGCCTAAGAAGAGCTAAACTCACTGGAAAGTCACCTTCTCAGTGGGAGTCCTAGAAGGATTTCTTACTTTTGAGATCTTTCTCAAATTTTGATTGCGATTGACCAGTGATCAAGAAAAAGTAAGAAGAAAAAAGGAAAAAGAAGGTAAAAAAGTGGGAATACATATAATCACATAAAAACCATGTAAGAGCATCAAGGTCTTTTCCAGTAGAAACCAGCCTAATAGTATTTTAAATGCAAATGTATCTATCCTATACTCCTGGGGTGAACAACCATTCCCTTCTGGGTACAAGTGTGCTCATCTGCTGAGAACATCCTATCTATTGAGAAGAGATGAATCTATATGCTTTAAACTGTTCTGCCAGTGCTAAAAATAAAAAGCCAGAATGAGCTCCCTTCCATTTAGAAGCAGTGATAAATGCAGTAGAAACTACTTAATTAGTCTATGATAAATTGCATGCCCAATTAATTGTGATGATTGCCTAGGGGGCAAAAACCAACTCAAGACAGTCTGGTGACTCCAAACAACAGACTAATGGCACACTTTAGAGAGCACTGGAGAGTCTCTTCCTATGTTCTTTCTGCAGTTGCTGGTAGCTGAGTCACAATTGTTAACAGCCAGGGATGTATTGTCTTGAACCAGCTTTGCCTCAATATGAACTTCTATTCATTTTATGCTGGTTAAGTTAATCAATATTATCTTAATACAGTGTTTCCTTACGTCTTACTGGTAGCAGTACGTGGTTTTACAGTGGACTTAAAATGCAATTAATGAAATATTAAATGAGTGCAATGGGCTTCTTTAACCCTCAAAGTTGCAGGTGGGAATTGGGAGGAAAGACATTAAAGGTACAGGAGTTACCTGAATGTTAAATCAGTGCGGATTTAAGAGCTATGCTCCATAAATTTATGAATGGCGCCTGTGAAACATGGCCATTGCAAGCAGAGTTTTAGTAGTTTGGGTGAAAATGTTGTTTGAAAATGCTTTTGCTAAACCGGTGACAAAGAACATGCAGAATTTGCTCTTTCAGTTTCAAAACAGTAAATGACTTTGCAGGGCAAAGTCAGGTCCCAAATGTGCCATCTGCCTGTTTGCGGTTTGTTTACTTTATACATGATTGAGTTTAGTGCTCATCTTGGCTTCTTTTACATAATGATGTTATGATAACCACATAATTAATGTTTTTAGTGTTCAGCAGATAAATGAGATATGAAAGAGAGAGAAAAAATATCAGATGTATAAATAGAAATGCTTTTGACATGCTCAGTGGGAGCTATATTTTATTCTATGATAATTCTGTAACATAACCTACATAGTCTTTAGTATCAGCTTACTGTGATAATAAAGCAAAGTGAAAGCGATCCTTCTGTCTATTTGTTTCCTCACACATTCCCTTTCTCCCAGATAGGAGATAGAAAGCTTCATATAAATTCAGCAGGAAATAATTATAAAGTGGCACATGACTAAACAGGCAAAATATTTCAATTTATCTAGGGAGCAATTGAAGAATCTCATGAAAATTTCATGGAAAGCCTATTCTCAAAAGTCTTTCCATTTTTTCTCAATCCTCCTATTCCTGCAGGCATCTAAAGAACTTGTACTCTTTCCTTTTATCTGGAAAGTTAACCTCTCTGCAAACACAACTAGAGATTGAGCCGAAACACATGGAGAAAATACATGACGTTCTTCTGGCTCCGTGAAAAATTATGAAGTGGAGGTGAAGAATGTGAGCTCCATGGGGGGAAGAGGAGGTCAATGAGAAATTTGTCTCTGTTTCAAATATTTGCCCATCATAGAGTAGATTGGGCAATATTCTTCCCAGGTCAGGATCATAGAAATGTGTCTCCAGTGATTTGGCATCAGCTTCCCTCTTGGGATTGATTTTTGTTAGTAATTCTTATAGATCTTAGAGATGTTTCAAGTTGCAAACATTCAGATAAAGAACTCCATACATTCATAAAAATCTTCTACTGACTTCTGCAGTAACACAAAAAGGTGGTGTCTGCTATTAAGAAAGCGCTTTACAGGAATAATTTTGAAGTGGAATTACATATTATTAAAGCAGACAGATCTAATGGTGAAGTAAACCGCATTTGGCAGCAAGAACATTTACTAAAAATGTCATTAAAGAATTCAGGCTGTATTCTACCAAGTATTTTGTAACTTCCTCCACTGACTTCTTGGCCTCTCCTTTTCTTTCAAGTCTGTTGAGTAACATGAGGTGTTTGATGAACACTGGAACTGAGGAAGTCTGGCTTCTTACTGTTATTTTTCTAAGGGTTTGCTGGCTTTGACACCTAAAAAGAA